GTGGAGTGTGGAGTGTGATGTGGGAAGTGAGGAGTGTGGTGTGGAGTGTGGAGTGTGGAGTGTGAAGCGTGGAGTGGAGAGTGTGAAGTGTGAAGTGTGGAGTGGAGACTGTGAAGTGGCACGAGTGGAATGTGTGAAGTGTGGAGTGTGGAGTCTAATGTGGGAAGTGTGGAATGTGAAGCGTGGAGTGGAGAGTGTGAAGGGCGGAGTGCGAAGTGTGGGGTGCTTCTCTAAACAGTTTGTGTGCAGTTAGGCATCTTATTCAATATTCCCCTTGCAGAGAGCCCAACTTTTGCGTCGTCTCCAAACGGAATTGAAGCGGAGGACTTGCATCGTCTCCCATTTGTCACTTGCTTGCGTCCCTACTTTTCTCTCCATTCTTCCTTCTTGTGGTTGCCTGGGGCGCCCACTTCGGACTGGCTGCCTTGGTCCCAAAATTGCCCCCAATGTGTTTCTACGCTGTCTGTACTTCTCCATTTGTGTTGTCTCCACTGGTCTTGGTACTTCACACTGGCCCTAGGAAAGGGAATTGTGTCTCACCATTTGTCTGTCTCATCACTGCGCTGTGTATTTTGCTTTCCTTCTTGTGGCTACTTTGGGACGAAGGTTTTCTCGTCTTTCCTATCCCCCCCTCCGTGACCGCCCTGGGTCAGTTTTCTTTCCGACAGGTCTCCCCACTTGGCTCTCCATTTGTCTCCCTTCTTGTGGCGGCTTTGCGACGGAGGAATTCCTACGTCTTTCATGTTTCGAACGATATCATTCGTTGTCCCTTATGGCCGCAATGCTACTGACATGTCATTTGATTGTCATCATTGGTTGTCGCGTTTCCAATATGTTTTCTGCGAAGTAATCCCTTCCTCCTAATACTAACCCCCCTAATACAAAACAGTGCAGGTAGTTTTTAGTATTAGGGGGGTATTTATTATTAGGGAACCCTATTGACAAAATTAAACCCTCTACTTTTTCGATCTCAAAATCAATTAAATTTCCTTATATAACGCAATCAACATATTGCCAAAAAAATTGGATTTCGAAGCTTCCCCCTAATATTAAATTAAAACCCTTAATAATAAAAACTATTTTTTCCGATCTCAAAATCAATTAAATTTCTTTATATAACGCGATTAAAATATTGCCAAGAATTAGATTTCGAAGCTTCCCCCCAATATTAATTTAAAACCCGTAATGATAAAAACTATTTTTCCGATCTCAAAATCAATTAAATTTCTTTATATAACGCAATTAATAAAATATTGCCAAAAATTGGATTTCGAAGCTTCCCACCTAATAATAAACACTCCGGGGTTGACTAGTTTTTAGTATTAGGGGGGATAACCCACAAATAGTAGCTTGATTTTTAAATTGTTTTTTAAAGGGGATCAATTAAGAGTCAAATTGGCCATACTGAAATTTTCTGAAATTGGAGATGGACGCCTGTTTTTAGTATTAGGGGGACGTTTAGTGTTAGGAGGAAGGGATTAGATTTTCAAGAAGCAAGACCCGGGGGCATTTGGATCATTCGTGTTTCGAGCACCGTGATGGACCTGGAAGTTTTGGCTTTCAGCATTATTTTTGGCCGTGTGACACGTTTTGACACTGATGGAGGTGATGGAACCTGATGAGTTTTTTGCGATCAGATTGGACTCGTAGCAGTTCAGGTGTGATGAGCCACTTGGGCATCCGTGTGTTTAATGTAGCCTGATTCAAGCACAAGACGAGGCGGAAGACGAGCAATGTTTTGCATCCAACATGCTAGCCTGTTGAAACCCAATTATGGTTTTTCCTTGCCACTAGCATTTCCTCCAAAGAGAAACCGTGTTGATGCAGCCCTTAGCATGCTCAGTGTGTCGCATATGCGTTGTGGAGAAACCAAGGCAGACAATATCTCCAAAGAGACTTGTTCATCTCATTGTCAAAAGTTTCCTAGGAAAAAAGACGGTCGAACGGAGATCGACTTCGAATGTTCAGCAATGTCAAGGCAAAAAACCAAGGAGGTGGCCCGAACAGCCAGCGTTTGTAAGCCCTTCCCTCCCAAACGATTGTGCTGTACTGGGCACTAGAGCTTCTCTCTTGAAGCCGCGACGCTTTTGCTTCGCATCTTTCGTCCATTTTGTGGCTACCTATATGATTCGAAAAACAGCAGCTGTCAGATATCCCTTGCCCGCGCAATTTTACCTTCCTTCAGCTGGGGTTCCACCAGGTCTCAGATGAAAGGGTCCGCCCTCCCCCGCCTCGATCTCGCGGATCTTGCTCAGACAGACTGCTGTGGACAGCCGTGTCGAAGTGATCGGGACAGTAGTTTGCTGATGTGAGTGTATTTTCGAATGCCTTGAAGCTGCTAAATATCTCAGAACTTTGGCCTCGTATCACTACGCATGATTTGTTTACATCATTCCGCACGCAGTTCTAGCAACTCCCACGGCAGCAATGTTTAGAGATATACTCCATGAAACCAATTTCGTTTCTGAATGGTGGGTGTGCAGATACTGCAAGTTAGCCTTCAGGCATCCCCATTGGCAACTTTTCTTCAATGTTTTGGCCTGCGATGTGTAGTAACAAGGGATTCAGGCGATTCAGGGGGTTCAAAAGGGTCCGCGCGCCCGCGCAGCACAAGTTGCGTGGTTTTCAGATTCAGGCTTCCGAAATCTTCCGAACTGTGTCGCCAGGGATCTGGAACGTGCTGCAAACCGTTGACTCTGTGCATTTGGGCATTTGTTTGGACCCCTCGCAGGCTCTCGACGACTGAGTGTGCAACCTTGTCAGACTTCCCGCTATTTGTTGGGGCGTACCACCTGGCAATGGTATCAGCTTCCGCACGCACGGGGTGTTGATGAACTGTTGCATGTCAAACGGACACTAAAATGCAATTGAAATTGTTGCAGGCCTGGTTTTGATCAAAGAGAGTCCAAGTCGCATATTTTCCACCTAGGTAAGAGCAGCAGGTTTGTCACCCCATCTGAATGGGTAGTTTTTTGTCCAGGAAGACTGCTTCCACCCAGATTTTGGCCATTGAATTCAGATCCCACTTTGCAGAAAGATCCATTTACGATATTTACGGGGTCAGAGATTTGCGGTTCTGATTTGCAGTAGCTGAGGTATGGGTGCTAGATGCGGGTTGTGTCCCGGGCTATGTTGCCTGGTCACCCCGGGCCTGGCACTGTTTGCCGAAGCCATAGAAGTGACGCACAGAGGCCAAATGCACTGCGTTCAAACCAATCTAACTGAGGTGCAGGTGATAGCCTTCCAAAAGTATCGGCAATATTCAAGCATCTCTTGTTTCAAGAGCCCCATTAATTCATTTAGTTGATTGAAAGACAGTTTTTATTATTACGGGGGAACCCTAATAGTAAATTTAAAACCCTGTTACGCCTGAACTAGCACATTGAAACTTTTTCATTATAGGATATGTGTTCGGGCGCAAAACTACCTGCAGTACGCTGTACTTAGTCCTGGAAGCTGACAGCAAAAATTGGAACAATGATAGACAATGACTCAATCAGAATGAGCTGAAGGAGTTCAGCCCTGGTTGGTCCTCAGTCCTTAAAAAGTTGTTGCCGCACACATTTGCGCCACCTCAGACCACATTGTTCATAGTTCATAGGTGCTTGAAGAGGCAGTCCTGCAACATGCACCTTATCGAAGTCTTTCAGCTCTGTTGAAGCTGTCCTACATGCGTAATCCCTGCAGACGTACCACGTTCAGGGTCTGCGAGACAGCCTGCAAGTTCTGGCTTTTGCGTCACAAGAGGCCTCTAGAAGGCCCATGGTTTGATCCCTACCCTCTTAAAAATGAAATTTGAGGGGGGGGAGTCGTACTGAAATTTCATTTTAAAATTCCATTTTTGCATTAATTTTTCTCAATGATCAACATTCCTCATCATTCCATATCATTGGCAAACAGATGAAAATTAAACACTTGCGCTTAGCTCCGGAGGAGCCAAGCACATGTCAGACTGAAGCAGCACATGTGTAGGGGTGGCATCCCTCCAAAAATTGCGTTGCCATCATCATACTTGCGCTTAGCTCCGGAGGAGCTAAGCGCAAGTATTTTCTAGCCAGCGCCCAAGGCTGGTCAAGAAATGTTACTTTGAAATTCCATTTGCGCAATTGGATCACTATCCCAGGGTTACCAAGCAAAAAAAGTGGAATTCGACAGGTTGGTTTTGTCCCCCCCTGTCCTCCCCCTCTATAGGGGTAGGGATATGGTTTGTTGCTAGTCTTGTCTCAGATCAATGTCTGTGCTCCAGCATAGTGACGTCTTGAGCGCTCCCGTCCAGTGGAAAAGCTACCGATGGTAGAATGAATGTGGCACTAAAGGCTCGTGGGACAAGGTGCAATGAACGTGGTACTAGAGTGATGCAAAAGAATCAGTTAGCACTGCAGGCTCAGTGCTAGATTGCTCCCCGAAAACACGCAAATTGAGGGGCTGCCAAGCCGTGTAAGACCCCATGTAGCAAGACCGACAGAAACCAAGAAGTCTTGAGAAATAATTGTTTGGCTCTTCCGTTTCCGGTGGCTTGGGTATGGCTGTTGGCTCCTAGTGACATTGGCCACAAGTGTATGCCAGCCACATGCACATGTTTGCACAGTTTGGCCAGATTGTCAGGGCCCATTGCGCCGAGACCCCCAGCATTCATTTGGCCTAACGCCCCCCCCCCCACGATTTCCGTGGACAGAAGTTCGCGAGTACATCTGGT